AAATGAAAGGTACAAAGTCAGCACTCAACAACCATGCAATGCAATGGCTTGGGACGTGTTTGGATTCACAAATGAAAATGGGCTCCACTGCACGATGCATCGCAGAAACATCACTTTCGATTGAGAAATCGGGATTCTCTGTCCCCAAAACTGCGTTGCCATTTTACGTATCAGCTAAAGTATAACTCGCTATTCATGCAAGAAAAAAACAAACGGATTTGAATCAGCATTTAAGTGCTTTCTTTTAACTTGCTTTTTTTTTATTTTTATTTATATAGAAATATAATACGTCTTAAGTAATTACAAACATGTTAACTTCTCAATAGTTTCATGCTAATTAGTGCAGCTTATCGATCAAATAATTTAAGATTCTCTGTATAGTACAGTGATTATTAACCTCAATTATTTGCAAGTACTTGTTTGTTAAAGAAGTATAACAAAATCATCTTATCACGATCAAGTCAGTAACAAAAGTTCTGAGTAGTACATATATACAAGTTTATAATAAATTTTAAATATAAACAAATAATAAAATCAATGTAGACCTCCCATTGGAAAAAAAAATATATGTATGCAATTAATAAAACTAATTAATGTGGATTGTTATGTTAGTATGAAAAATATTTCCAAACATGAGTAATTATTTTTTAGATATGAAGATGATCAAAGTAACTTTTTCTCTCAATTAATTTTTTTTTTCATACACATTGAACCTTGTTAACACATATAAGAGATTAGTTTTGTATCAACTACTTTGGATTGTGTTGGTAATTAGTGTAGAAGAAAATCTCAAATGATTTGACTTGATTTACAATTCATATTTATATGTTTAAATTCTTAAAATAAACCAATAATAATTGGTACAAATAATAAAAATTTGTTTAAATAAGTTATTTATATTTAAATTCTAATATTAAACATGGAATAAAATATATTAGGAGGAGAATACTCACCTTTTTGTATATATACGATTGTTAATAAAAGTACTTCCGAGAATAAATACTTTATACTAATATCATAGTTATAAAAAAAAATTATTGAAAATGAAATATTTCATTATCATACTCATTTTTATAATAAAAAAAAACATGTGACTATTTAATTATTGAATACTTTATATGTTTTTAAAAAATCTAGATTTTTTTTTTACTTTCTATTTTTGTACAATATTTTCCATCGTATTTTAGCTATTCATATTTTTTAAATAATTATTTTTGATTCATACATTAAAATTTTCTGCAAACTTCAGGTATTTCGACTTTTAAATTATTTTATTTCAAGATTTTCTAATTACATTAAAATTTACCCTTTATTTTTAGAATATAACCTCACCACTATTTTAAAGGGCATCATCTTTAAAATGACTAGATAGCTTAATCTATCTTTCTTTAAAAATGATAGTAGTCATTCATAATTTTAGCTAACTACCATTATCAACTTGAGGATTGATTATATTAATTCAAAGCCTACATATATAGAAAGAGTCAAAGACTCGAATGTTGTTGGTTGATTCAAAGTATAATTATTAGGAGTATGTTTGTTTGGTTGGGGGAGGATATGAAAGGAAATAATATCTAAACAACTAATATAAAACAAGACAACCACTTTATTTATGTTAAAAAGATGTTGATGGATTTATAAAGTAATGAAGACCCAAGGTATTGGTTATTCAATAAGCGAGTGATCCTAATAAGTTCAAATACATGAACTCCTTGGATTATTGGAGATTTATGAGCTGAAACTTAATTAAGTTTTTGGAAGAAATTGTAACTTTATATTTTCCTTGCACTTTATATAGTCTTCTTATTGTTTGCTTCGATTCAATATTAAAGGGGAATAAATTCGACGAATTAATGAAAAATGAATTTTAGCCTTTAAATACTATAACCTGAAATTTACACAATCAACTTGAAAGAAATTTGAAGATGGATGAAGAGAATATATCTACGCATCCAGTTGTCATGTTATAGTCTCAACCCCACATGTCAACATTCCAAAATAAGACTTTTTTTTAAATTTAAATATTACAATAAATAAATAAACCTTATCAAAATATCATATCTTGAAATATATTTATCAACGTATCACGTTTATTATTTATATTAAGAATTTGATCTTCTACTAATCAATTTCTCACCTTAACTTTTTAATTTTTTTTTATTTATGCATTGAAAAATTAGTTAATCAATATCTTCCAATTTCTCAACTCTAGTTTTCTTTTTCTATAATTTTTTTATAATATTATTATTTTTATAATTTATTTTTTATTTAATTTATTAGCTTGAAAAATATATAAATAAATTCATAATTTTTATTTTATAACCTTAAAGTTTTGTAAAAAGAGATTATAAATAATTTAAAGATGTCTAAATTTATTATGCAATACAAATTAAAGAGTACATATACATTACCAAAAATAGTATTTTTTTAAAAGCAATTATATTGTGGAAAAAATACATAGATTAATTTTTACATGTACTTTAAAATGAAATTCATAGCGCACACACATAATTCAAAGTAAAAAAATATAGATAATTAACTTTCACACTTACTTTGAAATCAAATTCATAGGTAATAATTAATGGTGTATGTGTTCGCTTGTACCAAAATGGTCATTGCTTGATCTTAAATAGGCACAAGTCAATTAAGAATACATACTCAAGAATTGATTTTAGGTGGACATTAGAGAATTTTGTGCACGTGTTCTGCATTCAATACATGGTACAAAATTTCATGAGACAATTTGAAAATGCAAGCAGAAGAATTAACATATGGATTAGTGATTTTCTTCTTTATTCTTGCCATCAAAATAATTAGCTTCATCAACTATTTTTCAACTTAATGATTTTGTATAGTTTAAATTCCCTAGTGCATGGCATGATTTGAGCCTACATTCAATTACTACTATAATAATTTGATGACACAATCAAAGAATGAAAGTATTATTCAATGACTTGATCAAATTCCACGAGTAAATAGACTCTTGCATGGGATGGAGGTTGAAGATGGAGGCATATGACCACAAATCTAATAAAGACAATCAATTCAGTACATAAAAAAATAGGAACCTACCAATTAGATTGTTGATTGTGTTAGACTTACAAAAGATGTAACTAACTTATTCAATCAAAGAAGGTGAAAAGTTACGATTAAATTGAGATCTGATCAAGTATATTTAGAAATATTAAACAAGACCTCAACTAAGACACAAATAAAGACAAACTATCACCATGTACTTGAGTTCGACAGATACAATATGCATTTCTTGGTGCAAGATACGTTTAACCCAAGAGAGAAATGATTAACTAGATAATTCACAACTAGTCTGAATGAAATTGGTGTGACTATGGTGAATTTCAAAAATTACACATGTTTTACTAATATGGCAGTGCTACTTGTAAATGTACTCACCATGATTACACATTTTACATATATTTTGTTTACACATTGGAATATATTTTCAATGTATATATAGGATTGTTAAGAGAGCTTCACAAATGAACAATATTGGTCACAACGTAATGAACCATAAATCTACCTAAATCTAAACATGAAAAAAATAAAAAAATAAAAAAATAAAAAAAGTTGTCCAAAATCCCCGCATATATACACATAAATGGATGAGATAACCAATCGAAAAGATGCTCCATATGTATGAATCTTGATCATATTAAGAAAAAATTTCCTTATTATGTGAGAACTTTCAATCAAGAATAATAATTTTTAGGCTTAAATATGTTTTTAGTCCATCAAATTTAGGGTAAATTTGTTTTTGGTCTCTCAAATTTAAAATTGTTGTTTTTAGTCTTGTAATTTCAAAAATCTTATTTTAGTCCTTATATTCAAATGTTATTAAGAAATTTATCAAATATTATTGCATAAAATATACCTATTGGTGTCCCTATTAGTGAAAATATCATATTAAATTCGGTTGATATTGCATAACTGTCTTAATTAGTCACTTTTAAATATGTTATTAGTGACCTAAGAAACTAAAATAAGATTTTTAAAAATTACAGGGACTAAAAACAACAATTTTAAATTTGAGGGACTAAAAACAAATTTGTCTTAAATTTGAGAGACTAAAAACATATTTAAGCCTAATTTTTATTTCTATTATTATACCTTTCATTTTGTTCTTCATATTATTTTGATTTAAAGTCAATTTTAATAATTTCATATCATTTAAAATCTAGTTTTTATTGACTATAACATATTAAAAATATTTATAAAGATATTTTTACTTTCTCATAATAAATTATCAAACACACATTAAAAAGATGTACTAATCATAATTAAAAATATTGTATTTATAATATAAATAAATATATTGTTATAAAATAAAAATTATGAACTTATTTATATATTAACTAATCTTTCAAGCTAATAAATTAAATAAAAATATATATTTTTGAAAAATAAAAATATTTTATAAAAAAAACTAGAGTCGAGAATTTGGTTAACAAATTAACCAATTTCTCAATGCATAAATGAAAAATAGTTGTAAAACTTAAGTGAAAAATTGGTTAATAAAAGACAAAATTCTCAACTTAAATAATAATCGTAACATCTTAATAAATATGTTTCAGAGTATAATGTTTTAGTAAATTTATATTTTTATTTAAATAAAAAAGTCTCCGAAGTAATGCTTCCTGTCAATTTTTGGCTTAGATATCATACTAGTCAACATAACATAACTCTTTTTTTTTTGAAAAATTAGTTAAAATTTTATGATGTTCATATAGATAAATTTAGTAAGGCATGTTTTACTTCATAAATCAATTTAAAAAGTATTTAAAATTGTGTCCCTGATAGAAAATAATCGTTGCATCAAGAGAATAACCAAGTAAATAACCATAATGAATTTTTAAAAGATAAGAAAGAAAGGACCGGAACAAATTTTTCTAAGATAAAAGCTCCAAAAGTATATGTTGGCATTTAAATATATATATATATATATATATATATCCAACTAATATTAAATAGAGGACCCGTGTTGAACGAATTTCCAAATATATATACTTTAACCGAAGGTTTCTGGGCCCAGAGTTTTTAAATTCCTAGTACCAAAAAGTGACAATATCGATGTTCATAAAAAATTATTAGTCCAACGTCCTAATACAGTTTCATCTACCATATATCATATTGCTCCATTATTTTCGGAGCTTAGTTAAACCTAAATATCCAATACACCTTGCTCCTACCATCCAAAGCATCATTGTTGCCTGAATATAAAAGAGTTTTCTCTGACTGAATTCTCATGAAATTGACATCTCATGTACTTTAGCTGTGTTTTAGTGTCATCCTCAATCCCTTCTTTGCGTTTTCTTGTCCCATGAATAACTGTTCTCAGACTATCAGCAGCAGGCGAATTTACGGTGTCCACAGTATCAAGCATCTCTACGTCACAATCAAGTTTATCTGCTCCATCTTCTCCATTTCTAGAATTCAATAAGAGATTCTTATCCAGATTGTTAAAGAAATGTTTGATCACTGGAAACAAGCACTCGGTTCTTGAAGTGAAAAAGTTAGCTTTGAACATGAAGTTTATCTGCTTGGCAGTTTCACTAGCAAATACAGCAAATCCTTGTTCCTGAACAACTAGAAGCCACTCTGAAAATGAAATCATTAGCTATCAGATACAAAAGAAACAAAAAAGAGAAACATCAAACAAAAGAGAATACATAAAAGGGTTGCTTGTTTAAGTTAACAATCCGAATTCAATCACACTGACAAAGTTTGAAATTGAGTGCAGCCTTATTCCGTTATTCGTCATCTGTACACTTTGCTGAACTTTTTAAACATAACAGTCTCTTCATGGTACAAAGAGACGCAAAAAAATTGCATGAGGAAATTATGAACTCACTTATAAGAGCTATGGGAGTGGAAACATTTGGCCTGCTGATATTTCTGCCTACGCAATTTTGATTAGTAACCCAGTTGATCAATTGAATGGGTATGCATGATCTACAGAAGGCATTTATAAAAGACATAGCTTTCCCCTGATCACCTTTTTCCCTGTGACCAACGAGATTATGAGACTTGTCAGGTGAAACATTCAAGAAACCCCTTCATCCATCACATCACAGCTACAATAGTCTTTTCTCATACCTAGCAGACTGTACAGCCAACTCAGCCACAAACAACCATGTTATAGCAACATCTTTCAAGCTGTTGGCATATAGCGAAAATTCTGCTTGAGGATTAATGAACGAATGCTCTATCGTCATCACAGAATTGTACAGGACTTCTTTTAAAAGAAGTTCATTTTCAGAACCCTATATAGTAAAACAGACGGTCAGTAGTTGAACGTAACAGTAAAAATCTGAAACAAGTAATACATCATACACTTATTGAAGGGAAAGGGAATAAAGTCATTCCATAGAACTAGGAGCTGAAATTACCAACAGAAGAAGAGTGCCCAGTATTGGATTCAATGACCGTGAAGATTATGGCAATGAATAATTAATGTAGCTAACGAAGCAGTAACCCTTTTCAAAAACAATATACAGAAAATCACAACTACGGAAACATTCATGAATAATTAGTTAAGTAAATCATTTTACTGGAAACGTTAATAGTAAGTTTTATAATTCCAAAATATAAAACATAATTTTTCCAACAATAATCAATACTTCAAATCCTAGTCTCACATCAATTGTCATATAAAGAATAAAACTTGAGCATTCAAAAATATGTTTTGCATGCCAATAAAAACTAAAAATTGCCCTTTGGATCTTAATTGCATGCTAACCTGAGTAACCTCTATAGATGGCAGTGACGTCAAGACTCAAGACATGACTAGCCTCCATTAAACATAAGCCAGGCGGGCCAAGTGGGCTTGTAGTTATTTGAAGTTAGTCATTTTAAGAAAAAAGGTGCTTTGCCTAAAGCCCTTAATTTCAAAATTCCAAATTATAAGGTGCTTTGCCTAAAGCCCTTAATTTCAAATTTCCAAATTATGATTAAGGAAAAGTAGAGCAAAAAAGACATGGTACTGACCAGTAGAGAGGTCACTGGTAAAACTGGCTCCAACATCGTCCTGAAAAGGGTATCTGAATGGAAGGAAGGATTCGACCAATCAGCAATCAGGAAGTACAAACATGAAAACTGTAATGAGGTCCCCCCAGAAAGCACAAGGATTGGACCAATGTCAAGCTGAGAAATAAACAAATAAGGGTAAAAGAGGGATCGGACTAAGAAAACTAACAGACAGTGATATATAGTCATCTGATTAGTTTGGTTATAGGAGAAAATTCTGAACGAACCATTCATCCAACAAAAAACCAACCTGGGTATTAGAATATGCCAATACAATATAAATAACCATAACTGCATTCCATAAATATCCAGCTTCCTAAAATGCTTAAGAACCAACACTCAAACCCCGAAGTAAACAACATGATTACATTAAGACATTTGTTGAGTAAGGACAAGAAACAAAAATAAAAAATATTTCAAAGAAAATAAAGGCCATTTCCTTAATATTCTACTTAAAAATTTCTTAACTTAAATAAAAATACAATGAAAGGCAAATTAAACTCGTATCCTCAAATTTTAAGGAAACTCTTCTTTTATTTATCTTATACAAATTTTAGTTTGTGAAGTAAGAGTCTCATTAATATTAATTAAGGGTAGTTTTAAAAAAAAATGAAATAGAAATATAAATTTTAAAAAAATTTAATGTTATCAATTAAATTAACCAACTTCTTTAATCTTAGTTATTTAGTAAATGAATTTATAAAAAAGACTTGAAGGAGTATTATTAAATGATGCAATATGACTAAATGTATGCCACATAACATGACTAGGTAGTGTGACAAGGATTAATTTAAAGATTTTAAAATTCACAAAGATAAAAATAATAATAATTTTTTAATAACCAAATCATATTTACATGTACCCTAAACACTTATTATCCTTGTTTTAATAAGTCGTGATAAGGAGTGCCTCAAAAAAATCAGGAAAGCAAATTAATAATCAAAATATAATAACATTATTTAAGTTAAAAAAACACTATCTAACACTCCATTCGTGAACTCTCTCAACAAGTGCATCGTGGCATGATTAGAAGATAATCCTCTATTTTAAGCATTTGGTCAGGATTCTAACTCTGATCCTAATGCATGAAAAGATATTTGTTAACAGAGATTAACACCATATATCTTAATATTTCAATATATCTAAAATGTCGAGTTCTCAAACTCACAAATTCATGTCCAAATAAAAAATACTAAATCAATTAACCCAATCAATCTAATCTTAAAATTATAAAAATACCTTCCCGTTCCTCTTTAAAACAATCAAACGTTAATTAACTTCATTTCTACATACGTGTCTTCAGAAACTACTCTAATTCGACAAACCCTAAAATAGTAGTAATATTTTAACACCCCTGAAAATCAAATTGAAAGCAAAAACCTGAGCACTAGAGAAAGCAAGTTCTTACCCAAAAACCGAAAGCTCCGAAACCCCGTAATGGTCTGAACCGCGGAAGCCATCAACTTCTTCTCCTGCTCCGCCCTGGGAGCCCCATTATCAAACGCCAAACACAGCTTCAACAAAAGCGCTTCACACATGACAACCCCAGCCAACACCCCAACCTCGCAACCCCTCTCAATCCCCTTCCTCACGCCCTCACCCACGAGCGGGAAAAACCCCTCCACACACCCTTCACCCCCATCGTCCACCATCCACACGCGGATCAAGTCCGCGAAATCCAGACCCGCCACGTCAGCGTCGTCGTCGCAACTCTCCTTCGCGCAGAAAATGCTGCAGTAGCTGACGACGCCCTCCACCAGCCCCTCCACCTCGGATTTCGCGTTCGGGGACTCTGCCGGCGCGAGGCGGTGCAGGACGAAGAGCAGCGGCGCGAGCGCGGCGATTCTAGCGGAGGAGGCGCGCGCGGCGGAGCAGGAGGCGAGGAGGTGGAAGAGGTCCCTGGCGGCGGCGGAGGAGGGTGGGTGCTGGCGGAATTGGAGGGCGGCGTAGAACCAGAGGAGGGGGATGGGGGGGTCGGGGGTGGCGTGGAGCGTGCGGGAGAAGATGGAGGTGAAGTCGGCGAAGTCGGTGGCGCCGGTGCGGTGCTGGGCGAGGAAGCGCGTGATGGATTCCTTGAGCATGAGCATGGGGTGGTTAGGGTTCATTTTGGGGGAATCCTTGAGGTGAGAAGGGAAATTGGAGGGACTGAGGGGTGACGGAGAAACCCTAGGTTTTGCGTATGGTGCAGAGAAAACGGGAGGGAATATGCACTTTGATAACGGGCGACTTTTTTGAATTCACTTTTCTTCAAACAACTACATATAATTTATGTAATCAAAAAATACTTCATTTTTTTTATTTTTAATTAACCATTTTTTTTTCCCTTATCTAGTTTTCTTTTGAATTTTTTTATAAGAGTTTTGTTTCTTTTAAATTATCTTATGGTAAGACTTAAGAGAGTGTAGTTTGGGAGTAATAATTTATGTTAACAATTTTGCACTGGTAGAGAGAGACTTGTTGGTCAATGGCTTCTTTCAACGTCAATGCTTCAATGTTTGAGTCACTATTGTATGAGCAGATTTTTTATATATTCTAGTATTTGTCATCGGTGATAAATAATTTGTTATCTCTAAAACCTCAATACTATTACAAAATCAAAATTAAAGATGCAATTTGGTTGATGGATGTTTAACCACTATAAATTTGAAAGCAAAGATATTATATTGCATTATGTTATTAAGAAAATGATATATATATATATATATA